AGGGGGGGGGGGGTTCAAAAACTCAATGGTATCATGCAGATGACTTGTTTTAACTAACGATAGGAGAAGGAGTCTTGAAATGTGCGTTACAATATGTGGAATTGCCAACACCCTGCACTTACTTGATCCAGTCATATCGAAGATTGACATTTAACAGGAAGGTTCGCCCATTAAATACCTCTTAGTTTTGATATCACCCCAAAATTAAAGGAAGAAAGTCTAATATTCTGTTCATATAAAACTTGAGAAATACGTGAAGGCAAGATGTAAAGAGCAAAGGCTAAAAGGGGGAAGGGGACAACGCCTGACGTAGACCCATAAGATCAACGTATGGACAAATACATTCTCGAGAGCAGCTAGCTACGGTAAGCACTGGCGGGTCGTTAGACAGCGACCTCTGAGCCAGACATCACACCTCCTGGTACGCAGGTATGTGTTATGGTGCTCCGACTACACCCGCCAGTGTCACGTCAGTTGTACGAATTTTTCTCCGAAAATGCTTAACATCCTGGCACGTTGCGTCGTACTTAAAACATGAGTTTCGTGTCCTGTATCAAAACCAAAGCCGATTTTTTCTCGAAAAAATGGCAAAGGCCAACTTTCCCCACTCCTAAAACTTGTATTGTGTTCCGTCTTCCTTTCATATGAGAATTAAATACAGTACCTCAATTTTCGACCATCTAGAGTTTTTAATATGTCAAAAAGAATAGGAAACATTTAATAATAAAATAAATTGCATTTATATAGCGCATTTCCACAAAGAAGGGCTCAATGCGCTGATTTAGATTTCAAGACAAACAAAGAATTATAGATGAATGCAAGGACTCCCCACAAAATGTACAGAATTTGTATCCTCTCAATCATGTTCCTGGTAAACAATCAAAAGCACAAGATGCAAAAACGTGAAAGGAAACACATATTGAAAGACAGAGAAGAAAGAAGCTAAAACAGTATTTAATATAGTCAGCTGGTGCGTATATACATCATAATTATCATGATCATCTTTAAGTGGCAGATCTGAAATAGACATCGACGATCACGAGTCTCCATTAAACGTCGCTCCGTCCGGGTGCTCTCATAAAACCTTCATTGCCCTGGTGTTTTCCCTTCACCCATTTGTCTACTCCTGTCTATTTTACTTTCTATTCGTCCAATAAGAACAAGAAGCTCGAAGCCTTTAAGTAAGGAGATACACGTGTCCTGGAAATTGTATTAAAATGTGTCGTTTCCTAAACAGGTACAGGTCTTTATTGATGAGTGGCCCGAGCAAGCTTCTTTAAGCACTTCCTCAGTTGATTTCTTTTCCGTCCATGAAATTCTCAAGTCTCCAAAGACACGACATTTCTGTTGCTTCCACTAACTTTGGTAGTTGTCCAGCCTATACTGTAAAATTAATTAATTATCTATGCTATAGTCTCCCCATTCACCTAGGAGCAGCCCACGTGAATCTGATCATCAGCCTGTCGTAAAAGTTATTCGCCTCGCTGTGCACCACGATGAGGACATCCGGGGTTGATGTCGCGCAGACTTGCGAGTCTTGGGGGTAACCGTACCTGAGGAATTCAAACAGCGGGATATTACTTGTCCTTGTTTCATTGTACAGGCATGGTGTAAGGCATGTTCCTAAAGCAGTGCTTGCCATCCAGTGGAATATTGCCTGCAAGCGTGCCAGTTGGTAAATTTGATGGGAGGTGGGGATCATCTGTGTAGTGTTAGGTTTTATTTAATGCTCCACTTGGAAATACACACGGATGGGTGGTAGGAAAATGTTAGTCAAAAAAGAAAAACAGCAACAACAACTTAACCTCAAATATTTTTTTAACGGATCAATTAGTGTCACCCATACTTTGCACAGCATATAAAATACTATAAATCTCCGTTACGCGGAAAATGGGATTGTCCACAGCACTTCCCACCTTTCACACACATTTTGCATATTACGGCCTACGTCGCAGCTCACCAATGATACTTTTCAATGGCAAAACTTGTCACATGAAATCAGTTTTAAAATGAATACTTTTTAGAACTAGATCTAAATACTAATGGTTCTCAAAACATGCGTTCAGCTTTTAAAAGTAAAATTGCCCTTGCTGTAAACCTTTTAAAGTCTGTAGAAACCACCGACTTGGATTTATAATTAGTCTTTATAAATGTCTTCATAAATTTACATATAAAATACTTGAAATCACATTCACACGTATAATGGGATTGTTCACAACACTTCTCGCTTCTCTCACACATTTTGATTACGCATATGACCTACATCACAGCTCATCAAAGACAATTTTTAATGGCAAAACTTGTTACAAGAAATTAATTTCATAGTGAACGTATTTTTTGCCCTAATGGTTCTCAAAACATGCATTCAATAAGCACAATGTCCCGATTAGAAAAACATGACGAACTTGCTATTAAAAACAATATTGCCCCAGCTGTAAACATTTAAAAATCTGTAGAAACCACCCACGTGGATTTTTTTTATTAGTATTTATTAAGGAATTTTCTAGAATACAGCCAGCAAGTGTTTACAAAAATATTGATCTAGTAAGATAAATTGATACAAGTAATTGTGCCAAAATTAGAGAACCTATGTTCGATAGTTGTGGAGATAATGACAAAAAGTTGCACCACGAATTTTTGACCGCACTATATATTTGTGAAAGTTCGTCACTTTGGCATGTAAAATTGATAACTATAACGCGGTCAAAAATTCGTGGTGCAACTTATCCTCAAATATCTCTTTAACGGGTGAATCAGTGTCACCCATACTGTGCACATCAGTTTGGATCAATTTGTCCTAACTTAGTCACATTTTTCAACAATATCTGAGGCTCGATTAAAGAACTTTTCTTCATAAATTTGTATAAAATTCTATAAATCTCCATCACACGGGAAATGGGATTGTTCACAGCACTTCCCGCTTCTCGCACACAGTTTGCATACGCATATGGCCTACGCCACAGCTCGCCAATGACACTTTTTAGAGGTAAAACCTCTGACAAGAAATTAATTTTATAGTGAAATCAATTTTTGCTCTAAAGGTTCCCTAAACATTCGTTCAATAAGCATAATGTTGCGATTAGAAAAAAATGATAGACTTTCTTTTAAAAGCGACATTGCTGAGCTGTGAACTTTTAATAATCTGTAGAATCCATTGACTGGGATTTGTTATTAGTATTTATTAAGGAATTTTCTAGAATACAGTGTTAAATAGTTTGAAAAAATATTCACCTGTCAAGACAAATTCATAAAAGTCATTGTTCAAAAGTTGGAGAATCTATGTTCGATAGTTAAGGAGATATTTGACAATAAGTTACGCCATGTATCTCTGACCGCCTTATAATACTTTTTTTCAGGTGATAAGTATATCTCTCTTCACGGTGATATTTACATTTCTGTTTCAGGTGATACCTCTCTTTTTCAATTGATCTTTTGCAGATTTTTCTCTCGCGAGAAAATACTTGATGATCGCTTCTTTTGAGTTCATTCATCGAACTATATAATGTATATAGGCCTATTGCTGAAATCAGGCGCTCGTCAAAATAATGAAATCGGAAAAATGGGCATTTTTCGGCCGGTTTTGAATTTTTTTTTTCGAAATTATGTTCTTGGGATCACAACCTTGTATGTCCAGTCCAAAACACATTTATGTGTGGATTTCAATAATTTCATGGAAAGCGTTGATGAAAGGAACAAAAATTGTAAATTTACAGTTTCCAAGGACTCTTGAACTATCGAAGTCACCAAACTTTGGCGGCCGTTTTCTCGCTAATTTTATTTCTGAAACCGAGCAACCTTACCTCCATCAATCACAAATATCTCGACTTCTGTTCAAGATAGATGGGGGGGGTGGGGGGTTTAAATCCAAATCAAGGCAAATGAACAACCTTTTAGATGAAACCAATAACTCCATATGCCCCAAAATTGACGAGCGTCTGATTCCATTGCGTTGTGACTCACACATACTCACACACACACACACACACACACACACACACACACACACACACACACACACACACACACACACACACTCACACGCGCGCGACGACAACGTCTAGAAAATACTGAGCTCGCAGAGACGTGCATGGGTATTGGGTGCCGTGTAAAATGTGCAAGGTACTCTGGTTACCAGTTCACTTGCGGTATGACCGTGGGAAACTTACATTAGTCAATTAAGGACGGTACTACTCAGACAGTTGGCAGAGGGCAGATGGCGGCATGAATGCGCAAGTGCTACGTTTATATAGGCATTCCTTTTCGTACATTGGCAAAACCTGGCGGTTAATGGGGCTGGCGGTATAACAGGAGAGGGCGGTATAACGAGGTTTGTCTGTACTTTTAATTTCTCCCTGACACATTCTCTTGTCTTCAACCTCTTGGTTTCCAGTGTCTTCATGGTACCAATAGCACACAAAAAAGAGATACTATAAATCACCAAAGTAGAAGTAAGTCATAAGGAAAATGTCCACGGTTAGTCATTGCCGTACTTCGAGAACAAACAAAGTTCAGTGGAGTCCGCTTAAAGTGAACTCATTGGGACCAGAAGAAAGTGTACACATTAACCGAGGTTCAGTTTAACCTTTTTGGTACGGGGGGGGGGGGGGGGGGCTTGAAACAGTAGCTACGCGCAGTGGTGGGTCTAGGGTGGAGGTGGGGTGGGGGTACAACACAGCGGGCGAGCCTTGACTAGAGCTATTTCTTTCTGATTGAGATTGTCGTCGCCAACGCCGAGCTGGGACTATCTGCCGAAGCCCGAGGCAAAGAATTTTATTTTTAACAGCATGGCGACAGTGACACTGTCGGTCCGTTCTTCCCTTTCACTCATTTTTTAAACGATATCCTATTTCCCCATGAAACCGGTTCATTTTATCAACTATTTTTTTTTACTTAAACAAGTAGCGTTTCAATCGGGACCACAGAATATCGTTCACTTCAACCGATTGTTCAAATAAAGCGTGTACACTTTAAGCTGACCCCACTGTAGATCAAGTTGGGTTTGATATTCTGGGTTGTTTTTTTACCTGTGTAAATTTATGAAACTGTCCCTTTCTTCATCAAGAGTCAGAGTGAGGTTTGAGATGACGTTATCAAAGTAGATGAACTTCTTCTTGTGAAAAAGCTTTGAAAGTAGAGTTTCTTCTCTCTCTGACATTTTAAACCCTCCGTGAATGCGTGTGACTCCCTCCTTCATCAACCATTCATCTTCCAACACTTCGCTTATGTCCAAATGTGATAAAGTTCTGCCTTCCCGGTGTCCGTCTTTAGAAGAAATCTGCATAGATTTGAGAAAACCTCTTTTTTCACGTTGACTTCTGAAGAATTGACCTGCCCCTTGGCCTAGGGCAAGCTTTGATAAAGAAACTGTTTCTCTAAAGTCGGCAGGCCGGTAACACACGATACAAATTGTTTGAAGTATTAGAAAAGATCCGAGACTTACAGCAATAAAAGAAGCGATTACATAGCCAAGTCGTAAGGTGTGCAGACGAAACATGGTCTTTGAGCTAAACAATCCAAAGAAGTTCACAAAATCATTGTACTCGAAAATAATATCGCTTTCAAAGAACGAATCAGCGTTGCAAAAAATTTATAGCATCTTGTATGATTATGAAACTCTATCTGTAAGAAGGCATAAACAAGATATATTCACGAAATCTTTCTTGGTTAAAGTTTTAAGAATTAAGAATGTCAACTTGCAGGGTTTTTTTTACTTTTGAGGTGGAAATATTAAATAACTAACATGTTGAGTGGCGACTTTCCGAAGAAAAATCTACCTGTTGGCTTTATAGTTTCCTCTTCCTGCTGAAATCATGCAAACAGGGCATGCAAGAAACGTTTTCTTTGCGTGATGCAGTTGCTGCTCACGTAAAGCGCTTTTTAAAAATTACACAGTACGTTTAAATACTGCACAAAAAAGCAACAAATCGATTGCGCCTGTGAAAGAAAAAGTTGTAGGACCCCCAACACAAACTGATATAATAATATATTACAAACTTCCTCCTAGGAGACTGTATCGATTTTATTGATGACGCAAGTTTATTTTAATTAAAGACCTTAAGCAACAAGACTGGACGATCGATATTACTTTCACCTACACCAACCATATGTTTCAAACAATCAAATAATCCTGGGTTTCACCAAGTTGTTTAAAAAAAGGGATTACTCTTCTTTGAGTGTGCGGTGGCAGAGCGGTTTGTGCGCTCGTCTTCAAAACAGAAAGTCCGGGCACGAGCCTCGGTTCGGACACGGATTTTTTCGCTCCCTCCTGCCCAGTCAACAGTAATGGTTACGTAAATGACTTCGAGTTGGGAAAGTATAGGCGGCGTGGAAAGGAACTGGCCACCCTACCACAATATGCCGAAGGGCCTGGAAGTTGCCATTGTGGGATGCGGGAACAACTTTACTTTTTACTGTTCTTTACACTGTTGGAAGAATATTAGATGTTTTTTAAAGATCCTGTCTTTGAGAATGATATGAAACTTGAGGCCAAAGACTTTCCTTCGCGAAGGAAGTCGTGGAGCACTAGATTTTCAATAATTAAAATGTGCACGTTACCCTGTCAACCTCAGCTACTCAAACAATATTATTATGAATGACTTTTGAAGGACCCAGTCTTGAAGAATTAAGTCAGAGTATTGTAGTTTTCAAACGTCAACAAGCTGTACTGGGGTACGTCGTGGTTTTTAGAAAACTAACCGGCTGTTATTCACATCGATCCCCTCTCCCCACCTCCTCCCCTTTATCCCCACAATATCTGCCCCTTCCCCCTAAAAAAAAAACTACGCACTCTCCACTGTATACCTACAGATTTGCTATATCTCACTACACACACACAC